GCGCATCCGGGACACGTGCAACAAACACCTCTGGAACGCTTCCATTCCTCAATGACAGCTCTCTTGAGGTCACGCTGGACAGTCTTTTCTGGTGTTTTAACAGGTCCTGTCCTTTTTGAGCGCGCGATATTGCCTTCTTCAAGTCGTTCCTCGTTGCGAAGAGAATGCCAGTGACGGATCTGATGCTCAGTCCAACCCCGGCCCAGCCAGCATTGCATCTTAGCTGGGGGCATGCGCTGACGAGCCAATCCAGCTTTCTGGATATTCTTCTTGCGGTTGATCCTGTTGAGGCGGGTGTCCCCGCAGACGATCCCTCCTCGGGGGAGTGTCAGGTCTGTTGGTCTGCCACGTGGAACCGACCGCGGCGTGCCAGACGATCATTATCTTCGATTTCTTCGTCATCGTCGTAGGCGCGATCCTTTTCCCTCCAGACCTGGCGGCTTGCAGGTCGCTTCTGGCGGCTCGTAGAGCGGTCCGAAGCAACGAAGGTGTATTGAAATCCTTCATTATGGCCAAGTTTATTTTGAATGCGCTCAGACAGATCACTAACGTCTCGCGGGTTTCCCCGCAAAGGGTCATCGCCATTCATTTCCATATTTGTCGGGTTTCCAATTTCCCGAGGATGGAGCATCAACTGCATTTCCTCGTCTGTCGCAAGAATAATGGCTTCTGAATCCGCGGGTGCCCCGGCCATGTCTGCATCTCCTCCGGCGGGCATGTGGAAGTTCTCGACAGACTCAAAATCAGCGGGTTGCCCCGCGATGGGTATGCCCAGCCAGTCTGCCAGATCAATATCGTCGTGGCCAGTGAACACCTCCTCGAACAGCTCGTCGGCGCAATTCTCGAGGGCCATACTGGCGCTAAGGTATCTGGCAGCCGTGAAGTTGACAACTGCAGCTGAGCTATAGGCAGGGCCAACTAGAAGATACCCCCAGTCAACATACTGCATGTCGGAGCCGGCTTGAGCCAGATGTATTGATGGGCCCCTGCCTCTCCCATCGCCTTGAGGGCATTCGCGGCGAATGTGCTGTGTACTGTGGCATATGTCACTCTCCATAATCTTACCATTGGCATCCTTCGCGTTTCCCCGACGTCCTTAACCTTCGAATATATGCCTGCGGTTTCTGCCTGCACGTAAAACATTTCTTCGTACTGTGGCGCGGTAAGGGATGCCAAGCATGCTAATATGCCTCTACCATGCAGTCGCCGACGCTTACCTTTATCCTTATTTCGACCCTTGCCTTTTCCCTCGAGTGCTCGTCGTACGATACGCCGTGCCTTACGGACTGGTTTCTTCATGAATCGCCTCCATCTGCGCTTATGTTTTTGGTGTCCAAAGAATAACCATTGCGCCTGTTGCTCTTCCGTGAGGTATGTAGGCATATCCGAGTAGTCAAAGGCTGTGGCTTCATCGTCCGAAGACGCATCGGCGTCAGTACCGGAGTCGAGGTCGGATTCGGCAGGTTGCCCCGCTGAGCCCATTAAGGCCATGGCTTGTGTTGGGGATACCGAGTCGGGCGGCCCCCGAAGCCTGGCCCAGGAGTCCTGCGACCCCGAGGCCGTTGCACCATTCTGAGCCAGCAAGGAAGTGGTCTCACTTGGTTGTGGATCATCATTCCAGACGTTGTTAGCAGGCTGCCCTGCGTTAGCCTCCACGTGAAAAGGTCTCGGTTCGGTGACCGCGACTGCAAACACCACCAATATTACCAAGGGTTCTCTCAGCAATGTGAGCATATGACCTCATACGTTCGAGTGTGGCGTCAAATTGTTGCTGGACTCTCGGCGCGCTGTGGTTCAGTGGCTGCAGGAGTTGCTGTGCACGCGATGTCCCCACTCCAAGAGCTCTGAATAAAATGAATGTTAAGATTTGAAAGTTGGGGATGTTAAAGCCTGCCGTTTCAGCTTCATAGCGGGCTATTTCGAAGCGTGCCAACGTCTGGTCGATTCGTTCTCCCGCATGGACTCGGAAATCAATGAATGCTGTACCAGAGTTGAGCTGGCGCTCCTCTTCTAATTCTCGAACTTCGTGCTTAAGAGGAACATGATGTAGGTGGCGCCATCGGTATGGCGACCACTTATGTTACCGCCAAAATTGATTACTGCTGGGGGGGACTCTCATAGCTATGGTCCGTGCGAAACCTCCCAAACCTCGCTGCAAGGCTGCAACTTGCTGGGAGGGCGTCATGCTGACTGTGGTCACGTTGATCCAAGCATGTACCTCGCGGGCGAATTCGCGAGAAGGTACTTGACCGGCTGGGTCCCAGTGAGGGCTGGTCGTTCTTGTGCCGTCTCCGCCACGCATATGTTCTACCGCACGCCCCATAGCGACCCATATGAGCCCAAAGATAGCAACAGCAATCCAATGGCCCCGTAGGTCGTGGTCGGATGTAGTCGGTTGGGGCTTCCGTTGTGTAGTCGGAAGTCTGCGTGGGGGTGGAGGCGGCACTGTATCGTATCGCATGTTTCCGTGCATTGTGTCTTCGAAAACGTTTCCAAGTGGAGTAGGCGGGTGTACTTCAGGAGTGTAGTAGCGCAGGGATGTATGGCATACGTGAGAGACCTCCGCGGCAGCAGAAGTATCGCTGCAAGTGTCCTCGCGATAATGCGTCGTTATATACATTCCTCCGCACAAGCCCACTGCACCCTGATGTTCCACCATGTCCGTAGTCCACCAGATAGTGCCGTGGATGGTGAGGAGTAGAGCTAGAGCTGACCACCATAGGCCAGCCCCGCTACCAAGTTTGAAGGGGGTTGGAAGGACCAACCAGCAGCTCCGCTTTAAGCGAAGCCAAGCTCAAGCTCTGTTGAACCGTAGTAGCGATAGTCCCAGTATGAGAGGATGTGCCGTGTGAAGCAATATGAAGGTCCTTTTGGTCTCGATAGCAATCGTGTGCCTCGCGATGAGGCACAATCATATCTGGGCGGCCGGCCGCTTGAGCCGACGCGGCCGCGGGCACACGCTCGCTTCCGCTCCCTGTGCTCCCCAGCTCACTCTAGCGTTCCCCAGGGGTGCCTGGCGTGCGTGGCGCCCCTGACACGCGTGGCGCACCTCGCCCAAGCGTCGCGCACCTGGGGTCGGCTTTGGTTCCCAGTAGTTGCCCATCCAAAGACGACCGCTGACCATGCTCAGGCTCGGGTGTTACGTATGTGTTGGGAGGGCGGGTGGGCGTGCGGGCGGGGGGCTAGCTTGACCGACCCCTCCCCCTTACCCCCTCCCCTGGGCCTGGACGGGCGGTGCCGCGACCCATTGGAGCGTCCAAGACGGTCTCGACGAGGAAGCCAAAGTCATTTGCTTTACTCGCGTGCTGGCCCCATTTTGTTTTTTGGGGGGGGCGCTAATTGCAGCCCCCCTCTTGTGTGATCGATGGCATCCAAGGTGGCCCGAAGAGCGCCCCTAAAGCTCCCAGAAACGCCCAAAGAGGGCCCCAAGAGGCGCCCAAACGGCCCCAAGAGGCCTCCAAGAGGCTCCCAAGAGACCCCCAAGAGGTCCCCAAAAGGCTTCAAGATGATCCCCGAGGCACCCAAGATGCCCCCCTGAGGCTCCAAGTGCCCCCCCCCCCAAGCACCCGAGACGCCCACGAGCACCCCAGGACCGCCAAGGGACCCGTAAGACGTCCCAAGAGGCCACCAAGAAACGCCCAAACGATATCCCAGGAGGCTCAGAAAGGCGTCCAAGAGACCTCTGGCCCTTTTGCTCGCCCTCCCCCTCCTGCTCCTCCTTCCTCCTGCTCCTTCTCTTCCTGCTCCTCCTCATCATCATCAACATCATGTTCTTCCTTCTTCTCCCCACTCCCTCATCCATCCATCCGGCCTCCTTCTTTTACTCCTTCCTCCTTCGCGCGGTTCGGACTGCTCCCGCACTTCCCTGATCACCTCAACTCGCCTGGACATCGCTTCTGGATGGGCTGGTGGGGATACTTTTTGATCGCGACAGCGAGCGGGCACCCGCGCGGCGTCGAAAGGTCAAGCAAAGTGCGGAACCGTGCAAGTGCAAGGCAGCGGAAAATGTACAGGGCCACTACGCAGAGACCGCGCAAGAGTGACGAAAACACAGGCTGGTGGAAATACTCGAATCTTCTAGAATTTCCATATCATCTACTGATTGGGGCTTTTCTCTGGTGCAATATTGCTATCCGATTGTTGCTCTGAAGCATTGTTTGTCCTGCTTGTGGTTGTGATCGTGATAGCTTGGAGGCTCTGCCGGTGCATATTCGTAGCCATACCACATTGGGCCCTTCTGCCCATTTTACCTTCGAGCGACCACACGATGGCGACGTGGCTACCAGCGGAGCTCTCTCAGACGGTGCTGCAGAAGGCCAAGAAGCGACAAGCATCATCATCATCACCACCATCACCATCATCATCACCACCATCATCATCAGCATCATCAACATCATCATCAGCATAAGTATCAACATCAACATAATCGGCATCACCAGCATCACCATCAACTGCAACATCACCGTCATCTTCAACCACGCCGTCGAAACTGCTCGGCTGGCGCGTGGCGGGACTCGCCGCGTGCAGCCAGAAACTGCTCCTCACCTTTCCCTCCTGGTCCCGATCCCCGCCGGCGGACACGGGCTCAACTTCACGACAGATCTACCTGTGAGGGATTGCGCCACATATCAGCTCGCCCCACCCCCCTCCTCCTCCTCCTCCTCCTCCTCTCCTCCTCCTCCTCCTCCCTCCTCCTCCTCCCCCCTCCTCCTCCTCCTCCTCCTCCTCCTCCTCCTCCTCCTCCTCCTCCTCCCTCCTCCTCCTCCTCCTCCCCGTCCTCCTCCCCCTCTCGCTCCTCCTCCTCCTCCACCTCCTTCCCTCCTCCTCCTCCTCCTTCTCCTCCTCCTCCTCCTCCTCCTCCTCCTCCTCCTGATCTCGGGAAGATCCCCGCTGACTTGCACGTCCTGCTCGCTCTCCCTCTCGCATCCCCACCTCCGCCACCTCCGATCTCCCGCCCCGGATACTCCCGGCCCCGATTCTCGACTCTTCCGTCGATCTTGATCCCCGGTCCCCGATCCTCGCATCTCGGCCACTCCCAGCTGCTTCTGCCGGTGAAGCGGCGGGCCGGGACGCGACCTCGCGCCCGGTGCGAGTCGATGCAGCACGCAGCGCACGCATGTCTGTGCAACAGCGGGCCGAACGCTGGCCAACAGCGGGCCGAACAGCGTAGTTTTCGGGTGACACGCGGGAGCATCACAAGCATTGGCTTGACGATGAACCCTGCGAATTCAAGTTGGAGAAAGCGAGTGCAGCTGACCGCTGCGCACACATCACGTAGCACAAAAAATTGAATTCAGCCAAGCAGCGCTCATTCCGAATGCCATTGGTGCCACACGGCACTCAGCAAATCAGCTGAGCTTCCATATAGAACATGCACGTAAGCCCGCCGTCCGCCGCCGAGAATCAACAGCGGGAGGCCAGGCGAGACCGATTCCCGAGTTCCATTCGCGGGCGCCTACTGTTTTCAAATATCTCCTGCCCCTGTTTAAACGCCAGATTGGGTACGGAACCAATGCGTACGATGCCCAAGAACAGATGTTGTCCAAATTAGATTGCGGCCGCTGTTAGAGGCAGACGCCGGATGTTTCTCCAATGGAAAACACCCGCGGCGACGCCGGCAGCGAATCCTGTTCCACATGGGCAATCGTCGCTGTGGGTCTTCGTGCCTACTTCTTTCCGTGCCCACTCCGATCGTTCGTATCCTGCTCCTCCCCCAACAAGCGCGTCGCAGACCCGACGCTGCTGTGGCCGCAGCCCATCTAGCCCGGCGCCCCCGCGCAGTGGCACCCGGCTGCACCGCCCGGCTGCACTTAAGCCAAGCCGCTGCCGCCTTCCTGGCTCAAGCCAGCTGGGCTGTCGGAGGCGCGCCAGAGCGGGGGGGGGGGGGAGGAGGACGAGCAGGACGAGGCGGAGGAGGAGGAGCAGGAGGAGGCGGAGGAGGAGCAGGAGGACGCGCGCAAGGTGCGGAGGGTGCAGGCCTGGCCATCGCTCGTACGTCCATTCCCTGTGTTTGTTTTGGCTCCGTGCGTGGTGTTTCGCCACATGCTCAAGGATGCTCCTCGAGGGTCCTCGCCGAAGGAAAAAAGCACACGTCCGAGCGATGCCAAGAGGTCAAAGGCGCACTGAGCAGAGGGGACCCGCCCCCCCCCCCCCCGGCTCCGGGGAGGGGGGCTTGGACGGGCCGTGGCCCCTCTGGAAAAACTGCACCACAGAATCGGGGCGTCGTGGACTCCGAGAGGCCGCGACCCTGGTCGTGTCATCATCATTCCTGGCGCCACTGCTGTCGTGGCAGGCAGAAGAAAATGCGGCTCTTCGCCGTGCCCCCGGAAGGGCGGGAGGGGCGATGCAGCCCTCCGCCCTCGAGGCTAGGCTGAGCGTCCGGCGCCCGGGCGGAACACGCAGCATCGTGGGTGCGAGGCGCCGCGGGCGATCGCGAGACCCCTGCACGAGAGGGAGCAGATGTGTGGCCGGCTCGAGACACCCCGAACCCAGAACTTTTGACGTACCACTCCTCCTCCTCCTCCTCCTCCTCCTCCTCCTCCTCCTCCTCCTCCTCCTCCTCCTCCTCCTCCTCCTCCTCCTCCTCCTCCTCCTCCTCCCCCTCCCCCTCCCCCTCCCCCTCCTCCTCGTCGTCCTCCTCGTCGCCCTCCTCCTGCTCCTCCTCCTCCTCCTCCTCCTCCTCCTCCTCCTCCTCTTATTTTTGCTTTTGGTTTGTTTGCGCGCTCGCTGCTCCCTCCTGTCGCCGGAAGTGATGCGGCGGCCTACTTTTTACGTCCGCCGTCTGCCGCCCGCGAACCCGCCGCCGTTTTGCGCCCGCCGGCTTCGGAACCTCCAGGGATCGGCTTCTCTCGGGGCCCGTTCCTGAACGGCCTCCCGAAGGGGGTCCGAGTAGATGGGGTCGGGCATGGTCGGAAGATCGCGCCACATCGCCAACGCATCGCCGATGGATCGGCGAAGCATCTGCGATGCATCGGCGACGCATCGGCGCCGTCGGCGTGGAGAAAGTCGGGCTCCACATCGAGCCGCGTCGCCGATGCATCGGCAATGTGGCGCGATCCTCCGACCCCATCTGCTTGCAAGTCATCTAGAAAGCCTGGAGCTTACATGATGTGATGTGATCAACCCTGGGGGCGATTCTTGAGTTTTCAACATCGACGTGCTTATTTCCTGTTTGGGGCACTTCTGTTTCTTAGCTTTGGCATTTTCGTTCCAACTGTTTCCGGTTCCGTTCTGCGCTGCCGCTTCGGATGTTTTGGGCTGCCATGTTTTTTCCGTTTCGCTTGGGCGAAGAAGGGACAAACACGCCCCCAACGTTTCCACTATCAACCAAGTCTGAGGTTCGCGCCGACCTCCCGGAACCGCGCTTGGCCCACCTCCCCGGCGCGCGGAGCGCGCCAGGGGCGGCTCCAGAGGCGCTGGCAGGGGGCTCCAGCGCCGATCCGAGGAATCCGCACGGACCTTCGGGTGGGTGGCACTGGACTGCGACCGAAGTGGAGGGTAAAGTTAAGTCGGGCCTGTCCCCCTACAGGGGGGATTTTCGACGAAAATTAAAAAATACCCCAAACATACACCACAAAGGGCAAAAACAAAAAATAGTTCCCCGACTATGTTTGGACTATTTTGTTGTTAACAGTATTATTATTATTATTATTATTATGATTATTATTATTATTATTGTTATTATTATTATTAATATTAGTATTATTAGTATTATCATCATTACTATTAGTATTTTTATATTATTATTATTACTAGTATTATTAATTTTATTAGTATTCGTATTATTATTTTTATCATTATTTTGGGGGTATCTTTAATTTTTCGTCGAACATCCCCCTGTAGGGGGGCAGGCCCGACTTGAGGGTAAGGAGCAGTGCCCCAGAGGGGCCCGCCTTAGGGCCCTCTTTCGGGCCACTGCTGGCTCCCAAAAGGGGGCCCTACGGGGCTCCCTCATACAGTCGGGGCGCTGACCTACGGAACCCCAACTAAGGAACGAGGCCCCATATGTTCCATAACTCAACCTTCGACTTCCTGTCGAAAGCATGAGGGAAGCCTGAGGCAAGCTGTGAAACACCTAAGGAACGCGGAGCCCCTCCCCAACGAAAAGGGTTCCTTCTTCAGGGCCCCGACTATAGGGGCCCTCTTCTTCACCCTCCGTGCGGGCCACCCCTTCGCTGCCGCCCGCCCGAGATCTCAGACCTCCTCCACGCCGTTCCTTTCGGATCGTGCTCAGTTCTCTTGGCATCGCCCGGACGTGTGCATTTTTTTTCTCGGCGGGGACCATCGAGGAGCATCTTTGATCATGTAGCGAAAAATTGCACGCACGAGATCGAACAGTGCACGGGGAATGGACGTCCGAGCGATGGCGAGTTCTAATTGTGCTCGTTTCTAACTGCTCCTGGCCCCCTAGTGGCCAGGAAGAGGCCCAGGACAGCACAATCAGAAGCGAGAGGACCCTGGCCCCCACAGAACCAAGGAAGCTTCGAGGAATTGGAGCTGAACAGTGGGTATGTCATGTCATTGTCTGCTCCCCGACCCATCACCCATCTGGGAAGCTTACAAATGAGGGGCAACGATCGGGGGGGACTGGCACAGGGGGAGAAACATCGACCTGGAATCGGCGATGCATCGCTGATGGATCGGCGATGGGTCCCCCATAGTGAATCCGCGGGGATCCTGGGAGGTTGGGGCTATCTCGCCCCTATCGGCGATCAATGGGCGATTGGGGTTCGATGCATCCCCCCCTACCCAGACCCCCGACGTCGTGATTTTGTCGCAACGTCGACCCCCAAAGGTCCGGACCCCTTCCCCGGGGCCGGTGTTTCGTCCTCGGTCGTATTTTTTGACGCTCTCCCGCGGCCCGGCGAGGGCCCCCCGGAGGCCGCACACATGGCGAAACACCTCCCGCTGTGATTTTTGTCACAGCGCGAGGGGGTCTGGGTCCCTGACCTTCCAGGAGGGCTAAAAAATAGCACCCGACTTAAAAACCCATCCCAAAGCTATTATACGTCTTGGTTTTAGGCTGTTTCGCTTAGTCTTTTTAGGCTTTTGGGCCTCCAGTGCTAAAAAATAGCTCTCTGGAAGGTCAGGGGTATGCCTAGCCCCCCCTATCCTTGCCCCTGAATGCAGAACTCCTTCTGCGGAGCGGTGCCCGGCGGCTCACGGCCCGGGCGCGGGGCGCCCGAACGGCCCGACCTTTGAGCAGGGACCGACCGTCCCCGCATTCCTACAGTCCTACCACGACATGTTCTTAGAACCCAAGGATGTTCTAAGAACAAAAAAGATGTTCTTAGAATATATATTCCCGACGTGTCAAGCCAAGACGGGCTCCGCCAGAAAGGTTCTAGGTTCTAAGAACCTTCCGTGGGAACCACAGAGGGCTCTTAGAACATTGTTTGGTGGGGCTATAGACACGCCGGGACGCTTCGCCACTGCTTGATGCCCAGCCGCCCCTATCGTTGCCCCTTGAGCAGAACTTCTGCTGCGGCTGCGATGCCCCGCGCGGTGCAGCAGACTTCGTAACCCCCCCTTCCCCCACTCCTCCTCCTCCTCCTCCTCTCCTCCTCCTCCTCCTCCTCCTCCTCCTCCTCCTCCTCCTCCTCCTCCTCCTCCTCCTCCTCCTCCTCCTCCTCCTCCTCCTCCTCCTCCTCCCCTTCCTCCTCCTCCCCTCCTCCTCCTCCTCCTCCTCCTCCTCCTCCTCCTCCTCCTCCTCCTATCGTGGCCCCTTGAGCAGAACTTCCTCTGCGGCTGCGGTGCCCCGCGCAGCTCACCGCGCGGGCGCGGGGCGCCGGAAGGGCCCGACCTCGATGCGCCTGCCAGCCACGGCCTGCTCGGCGCCCTCCCGGAACACGCGCGCGGCGCCCTCGCGGGAGGACGCCAACCGCCGTCGTCGTCGTCGTCGTCGTCGTCGTCGTCGTCGTCGTCGTCGTCGTCGTCGTCGTCGTGGGCGTCGTCGTCGTAGTCGTCGTCGTCGTCGTCGTCGGCGTCGTCGTCGCGTCTTGGAGAGAGCAGAACGAGAAGAGGCCGATCGTTCGCGGGCTTCGGGGGCCCTCCCCCTTCCTCCTCCCTCGCTCCCCCATCCGCCCTCCTCCCTCCCTATCACCCCCCCTCACTCTCTCGCGCTGCACCTCCCTTGCTTCCCCTCCTGGAGATCTGGGTGCCCAGACCCGTCGCGTCGCGACAGAAGCAGGACGGGCAACTTCTTGCCCTCTTCGGCCGTCGGGGGCCGTCGCTGGGCCCTGGGGCCTTCAAGAAGCGACTCGGGACGAAAAGCTGGTCCAACGGAATGGGTCGAATCTTCTGCACGGGGGTCGGTCTTATGAAGAATTCGTGGCGTGTCGCAGCGCCGTCTGCTCTGAACACGCCCGCGTGAAGCCGGCACCGCGGCAAACCCGCGACAAGCTGTGCGTCCGAGGCGGAGCTCGCCCTGGTGGCCGAGGCGCTCTCCCCGAGACGCAGGGCCGCGCGTCGGGACAAACGGCGCGGCGACGGGTCGGGGGTCTGGGGCTGTACACCCGCACCGATCCTGGCCACGCTCCTCCTGGGCCCCGGGGGCCGGTGTAAGTGCGCGCTGCCCGGGCTTGGGCAGGACGGCGTGTGCACCGACCCTGGGCAAAGGGGCTGGCCTAGCCAGGATCGATGTGCAGGCACACCTCTAGGGCCTAGCCCCAAGCACACCTTGGGCCTAGCCCCACAGGGCCTGCCCCCAGGCCTGAGGGCCTGCCACGAGGCCTATCCCCTAGGGCCTCCCTCTGGCGCCTCCACCTGGGACCACCATGAGCCTTCCACTGGGGCCTACCCCTAGGCCTACCCTGGGTCTACCCCCAGGCCTCGACCTGCACCGTCCGCACCTTCCGCGCGGCAGGAGGAGGAGGAGGAGAGGAGGAGGAGGAGAGGAGGAGAAGGAGGAGGAGGAGGAGGAGGAGGTGGAGGAGGAGAGGAGGAGGAGGAGGAGGATGAGGAGGAGGAGGAGCGGGAGGAGGAGGAGCCCGCCGCGGCCGCAAGCGGCGGCCGCCGTCGAGGCCGCAGCGCAGCGGCACTCTCGGCGCGGGTGCGGAGGCAACGGTCGAGGGGTGCGCACCGCTCCGGGCCCAGGGATCGGCCCCTGGGCCTCTCCTCCTCCTCCTCCTCCTCCTCCTCCTCCTCTCCTCCTCCTCCCTCCTCCTCCTCCTCCTCCTCCTCCTGCTTCTCCTTCTCCTCCTCCTCCTCCACCTCCTCCTCCTCCTCCTCCTCCTCCTCCTTCTCCTCCCCCTCCTCCCCCTCACGATGCCTTGCTCTTGCTCCATGCGCAGATCCCGAAGTCCCGACCCTTCCAGGAGCGGATTTTTCGGCCCAGATCATTGAGCCGCAGGGCCCAGCGAGGGCCTGCGGAGCCTGAAAAGGTGTTGGCAAAAGCGCAGCCTTGTTCATTTCAGTGCGCTGTTCGGCGATTCCCCAGGGTGTGGTTTGCAAAGGGTGTGGTTTGCAACCGGCATCCTGGGGGACACCCTGGGGGGCGGGCGGGGACCTCGACAGAGTTCTCCGCCGCGCCCCGAGGAGGCCCGACGAGGACGGTGTCGTGCCCCTCTAGCCCCAACTGCGCCGATCGCAAACCACACCCCGGCGTAGCCACACCCTTTGTAATCGCCGAAACTCGTTGGATCTCTGGGTATGGGCGGTGCCCTCCGGTATGGCCTCGGCCTCCGCCATGACGATGAAGCCGATGTTCCCCGGGCGGAGCCGCACCGGGCCCATCGGCTTGTGCCTCTCCGGCGGCGAGCGCGCGGCCCCGATTGCCGACGGCGTGTACTTTTCAATCCGAGCGCGTCTGGCCTCGACCTCGGCCCTCGGGGGCCGCTCGAAGGCCCCGGGACCGTCAGAAATGGACCCGGGGCGAACAACTACCTCGTGAGGACATCTTGTAAAAAACCATTGGATGCGGCATCCAGGGTCTAGAAGCCAGTGGAACACCAGTTGAGACTTGGCCATGGATATCACCGCCTGCCGCCGCCCTCATCAGAGAAGGAGTCCTCCAAGGCGCAGACCTCACCCAACGCCCCCGCCGTACCGCTACCGCTACTCCCTGGACCTCTCCCGAGCGGCTTTCTGACGCGAGTTTCGAAGCGAATCCGGCCATGGCGACGATGACCTCCCAGGAGGCCCAACAAGACGGAAACGACGCGAGGGTAGCGGCAACCAGAGTCCTGACGTCAAGGTTGCTTCGCAACATCGACCCCCAGAAGTTTCGCCCCTCGCCCCATTCCCTGGCACCGGCTTCTCATACCGAATCGTTCTTCGAAAGTCCCGAAGCCCGGCGTGGGCCCCGGAAGCCGAACACAGCCAAACACCTTCCGTCATGATTTTCTCATGACCCGAGGGGTTCTGGGGTATCCCCAGAGATCTCACAAATGCTCCCGCCGTACTCCCCGGGCAGGGGGACGTCTCAGGCGGGAGCAACGCAGCCTCACACAACGCAGCGCCACAAAACCTCACCGTGACGAACACTGTAACTAACGCCCACGACGTTTACCCCCTCCTTCCCCCTGCTCGGGCGTCGCGTAATTGGGGGGGCGATCGATGGGGGGGCAGCGAGGGCTGCACGGAAAGGAGCCCTCCAGGACCCCTCCAAGGGCCAGGACCCCTCCAAGGGAGGGAGGGGGCCATGCAGGCCAGGGGCCAGAGGAAGGAACCTGTCTCCCCCCCACTGATCGCCCCCCCCACTGAATCACCGCTAGACCCCCCCCCCCCCCCCCCCACTGAGCGGCGCCCAACACCCCCTTCCCCCCTCCTCCCTTGGCCTTGCCGTCGCTCGGACGTCATGTATCCCGTGCGCTCCTCGACGTCGTGCGTGCATGCTTGTTGCTCGGTGATCCAGGATGCTCCTCGGTGGTCCCCGCCGAGAAAAAAGCAGAGAAAAAAGGTACATGTCCGAGGGATGCCAAGTTCATCGCACCCCCACTCAGCGACGCCCGACACCCTGGTCCCCCTACTGTGACAGAGGGCGAGGACGCAAGACCCTCGGAGGCAGAAGGTGGGCTTTCGCTTGGGCGGCGGGCGACCAGAGAAGGGTGCCCTGAGAGGCTGGCCAGTGGGAGCGGCACAGGACGGGCCCCAGAAAAAACGCGCGCCCTTACTATGCGCGTTGACTGTACCTCCCCCGGGCAGGGGGTCGGGACCTCCATCGGGCCGCGGACTGAACAGAGGAGCACGGCGGCGGATGCATGGGGGGGGGGGGGGCGGGGCCGCCTCTCCCGAGGGGGCGGGGGGCCTCGGATGTGTGTCGCAGCGCC